AATTGAAATCATGTTTTTGAGCTTTTCCTATAAAAAAACAAAATAATATTTTTTAATGTTAGAATCTTTGATTGACTTTATATGGATAAAAAATTTGATGAAACAAAATAGCCAAGATTTGAAGTTAAAACAATATAGAAGATTGTATATAGAAAATTGTATATAGAAAATTGACTCCACTATGCAGCATCTATTGGCTTCATAACAAAATTGTGAGACAGAACTTGATCTTTATAAAACCAAAAATAAACACATGTTAAATATAATATAAAAATTTATTTTTATTATGCTTGTTTGCCGAATATAAGAAGGTTGGCTTTACAGGCATCTCGGCGTTCCGAAGTGAACAAAAGGCTACACTTTATTTTTTGTTTTAAATAATACTTACTAGTACAAGGACAGTAGAAAAAACTATTTATCCAAGAAAGATAAAACTACAATAAATAAAAAAATTGAGAAATAAAAATGAAAAATAAAAAATAAACTACAGATATACTTGATTATTATTTCAAATTTTGAAAAACTTCTTTCTATATAACATTATTAGTTTTATATACAATATACTCATTATTGTGACAATAAAGTATTTTCAAACATCTTATTCTCTTAACTCTAGACTAGTATGTACCCGGTGCGGTGTACGAGACAAAACTATTAAATGAGTTATTTTCTCAAGTTTTGTCCGTTTAAGTCTAAAAAACAATAGATTTATCATCTATTTTCCTCCTATTTTAATCGGCGTTAAGTCTAAAAAACAATAGAGTTATAATCTATTTTCATGCTCTTTTAATCAACAATATTTTTTTAGCAGAACATTAAATATGAGCATGTTAGGAATAACTTGTAAAATAATTAATATATTCTCTCACTAATACATTTATACTAATATAAATTTTGATTTTAGTGTATATATTTATTCCTTGATATAAGAGATAATAACAATTTTACTTATTCTTGTTCACCCTATAATACTTAATTATTATTTTATTATAAACGTTGTTGTCATATAATATCATTATTATTTATAAAAGTTATAGAAGTTGTACGTCTTCTTTTTCTTTTAATTTTATGTAATGGAGAATATTTAATGCACGTTAGTATTATTTATTTATGTAATCAATTTAAAATATGTAAATAAATGTAAAATTAAATAGTGTATAAATATTTTACAAAATATGCACACACTTTTTTTCGAACTTAATTTTGTATACTAATTAAGCTACTTTCATTTAGCAAATGCTAAAAACTCAATCCTTCTATAATCAAGATTTTCTAATTTGCATTATAAGTATTCATAATTTATTTAGCATATTCTGCAATGAAATTATATTTTACAAGAATTTCATTATAGAAAGAAATTTAAATTAAAAAAATGATAAAAAAATAATCTTGGTTACCAATAATATAAAAATAAATTTTAGAACGTTTAATATATTTCAGTTTTAATTTTTTACCGTTAGTAAAATATTTAATGTATCTGGTCATTATCTCTTAAATAGTAAATTATATTAATTTGAAAAATACTTTTTTTTTTGTATATAACGGAATAAAGCTTAAGAAAAAAGTTGTACTGCGACCTGGGCCGTGCATATTCCATGAATTTTTTAATTTTTTAATTTTTCTTGTCCGTTTCTTTTTTTTTTTTTTGGAAACGGCAGATTATATAAAAGGGAAAGAGTTTACATGCTACAAGCAAGTACAAACAGAGAAGCATCAGCTCCTAAATAAAAGGGAGAGGCCTCATTTTCGGCAAAGGAAAACTTTGAGGTCCGAAAATGAAATCTATCCCTGGCCTACCACAGACAAAAGCAAAGCAACAACCTGGAGGCAGCAAAATTAGCTAACCACTGCACCCTAAAAGGGACCTAGCAAGCTAACATAAGACTAATAACATAACCTACTAAACAAAACCGAAACAACAAGACTGACTACTAACTAGCCTGTACAAGAGAAAATTCATGCCAATCTTGCAAAGCTAAGTCCACCGTGTGCCTTTCTGATCTTCTAGTTTGCTCAAACACCCAAAGATTTCTTGTTTTCCACATCCACCATAGTAAGTAGCTAGTCAATTGAATTCTTGCTTCTGCAACTGGGTTGTAATTGATAGAACATATGTGTGCCCACCAGTGTTTGAAGCCTATGATGTCTGCTTGACATCCATCCCAAGAAACCGGGGCCAGTCTCCACATGAGCTTGGCTCTGCTGCAGGTAAAGAATAGATGCTCCATTGATTCCTCCTCTTCACCACATAGCTTACAGATTTTATCCACAGTGACTCCTCTTGAGTGCAAGTTTACTAGGACTGGTAGAATATTGTTTAGACATTTCCAAAGGAAGTGTCTAATTTTAGTCTTTATTTTAAGTCTCCAAGTCCTTTGTCTGGCTTTCTTCATGTCATGTTGAGCTGAGCTTGGGCCTGCAATGTCCAAGTTCCTCCAGTGAGATTCAATGAGCTTAGAGTAGGTAGAAGCCACAGAGAATTTGCCATTGGAACTCCACTCCCACTTTATCTTGTCATTGCTGTAGGGATCCAAGCCTTCAATTGTAGTTATAGCCTCAACTTCTTCCTCTGTAAACCATTGTTCCAGTAAGTTCCTGTTCCATCTCCTCCCAGAATTGTCAATTAGGTCACTAACCCATTTCAACTCTGTATCCCTTGGACTTTTTCCTGTTGGTTTGTAGTCTGGTAAGAGAGGAACCCATGGTTTGTCCCAGATTTTCACTGACTTGCCATTTCTAATTTTGAACCTGATTCCCTTCATGAAGTTATCCTTGAGGCTCCACCAGCTTGTCCACAGCCAGGAGCTATTGCTCTTCTTTTTTGCTGAAAAAATGGATTCATGAGGAAAGTATCTCCCTTTTAAGATCCTGCTGACAAGGAGATGAGACTGAGAGGTAATCCTCCAGAGCTGCTTTGAAATTAAGGCTTTGTTGAAAGTGTAGAGATCCTGAAATCCGAGCCCTCCCATTTTTTTAGGCAAAGCCAGATGCTTCCAGCTTTTCCAATGGATTCCTTTGGAGTCTTTCTTCTTATTGTTCCAC